TCTAGGTGCTACATCCTCATGCCACATCTCCAGATGACACACACATCTCCTGGGGCCATATATCCAGGTACCTCCATATTCATTGTTTCCAGGACCCACATCTCCCACTGCAATGTCTCTGGGTGCCACCAAATGCCTTGTGTTCAGGAGCCACATCGACAGGTGCCATGAGATCACATGCCTTGTTTCTGGGTGCCACATCTGCCACATCTCAGGATGCTACTTCTCTAGGTGCCATGCCCCCAACCTACCATTCTTCCTGTGCCTCATCTCACACTGTCACTGCTCTAGGTGCTATATCCTCACATGCCTTGTGTCTGGGTGCTATGTCAATGGGTGTCATGCTACCACATCACTGGTCTCTTGGTGCCGTGTCTTCCCATCCCATGTCTCCCAGTGCAATGTCTGCAGATGCCACCACATGACTTCTATGTAAATGGGTGCCATGCAAACGGGTGCTATAGAACCACATGCCTTGTTTTCAAGATCCACAACTCCTGGTGCCACACCCACACTTGTTGCATCTTCTAGTGCCATGTCTCCAGGTGCCATGCCCCCCCCACACCTGCCATGTCTATGGGCGCCAGATGCTACTTCTCAGGTGCCATGCCACCAGGTCACTGAGTGCCACATTACCATGTGCCTTGTCTCCAAGTGTGACATCTCACAATGCCACACCCCCACCTGCCACATCTTCTGGTGCACCATCTCCAGGTGCCAGACCCCCACCTGCCATGTCACTGGGTGCCATTCTACCACATACCATGTCTCCAGATACCACATCCCTACCAGCCACATCTCTGGGTGCAACATCTCCAAGTGCCACTACATGCTTTGCATCCAGGTGCCACATCAACAGATAAGACACAACCACACACTTTGTTTCCACCTGCCACATCTTCCAGTGCCATATCTCTAAGTGCAACATCTCCAAGTGCCATATCTCCCTACCTACCATATCTTCTGGTGCCATAACCACTGGTGCCACATCAACCAGTGCCACATCTCCTGGTGCCATCTGTGACATCTCCTGATGTCACATCTCTGGGTGCCATGCCACAGAATGCCTTGTCTCTGGATGCCACGTCTCCCTGTACCATGCTATCATCTGCCACATCTCTGAATGCCACGTCAATGGGCTGCCACACCACCACACCACCTGCCACACCACAATATGCCTTGTCTGTAGGTGCCACATCTCCCCATCTCACACCATCACCTACCACATCTCTGGGTGCCACATCGCTGGGTGCTACATATCCACATACTGTGTTTCCATATGCTACACCGCCCTGCCACATCTCCCAGTGCCACATCTTTGGATACCATGCAACCACCTGTCATGTCTCCAAATACCACGCCTCTACATGACACATCTCCAGGCACCATGTTGCCAGGTGCCATGTTACCTCCCCGCAACACCTCCATTCGGTGCCTCACTGCCCCAAATATTAACATTTCACTGCAACTCCCTCGTTTTCCCTTATCTCACATACACACTTAAGGTTTTCTTCTGAATCTACTGATTAAGTTGCAGATATGATGCCCCTTTGCTTCCTAAAAAAGCAAGGACTTAAATAAGTGCCCAGTATAATTATCAAAATCAGGAAATTAATGTTAATACAATAACATTATTTAATTTAGATCTCATTTAAATTTTACCAATTGGCCTAACATCCTTCATGCAAAAAACAATGTTGATGTATTTTTTTTCTGGTCCAAAATCCAACCTAGGATCACCACTGCATTTAGTTGTCATGCCTCTTTTTTGGGGGAGGGGGGAGGTTTTTGCTACAGGGCGCATGCACTCGCCAGAAAGACAGAGACAGAAAGCAAGAAATCACCCCCTAAGGGGGATAGCCACGCTGCAATCCCTTCTCTTCCGTTCTCCTCCCAGGATCTTGGGCATGCATGCACAGGCGCACAGCGTGAATTTAAGCCACCGCGTCCAAGACTTGAACTGTGGTCAACTACATGGGAGTCCAGTGTCATAGCTATTGCGACAACTGCTGGTCCCAGTTGCCATGCCTTTTTAGTCTCCAACTGAAACAGCTAATCTCTTTATTATTCATTCCTTGACATTTTTAGAGTATAGGACAGTCGTTTCTTTCTTTGTTTTAGGTTTTGGCCATAGGGCATGTGCGCTTGTCAGAGAGAGACAGAAGAGAGGGAAAGTGAGAAATGACTCCCCCAGGAACCCTTCTCCTCCAAACTCCTCTTAGGATTTTGGGCGCACATATAACACATGCCTGATGTAACTTTCAAGCCACCAGTCCTGGACTCAAACTGTAGCTGGCCATGTGGGAGTCCAGTGCCTTAATCACCACGCCACCTGCTAGCCCCCAGGACAGTTATTTTACAGAATACTCCTCTATGGAGTTTGTCTAATGTTTTTCATGATTAGATTCAGGTTATGCATTTTTAGCAGAAATGGCACAGAAATAACACTGTGTCCCTCTTGATATATCACATCGAGAGACATGGTAATTTGTGCCATTACTGGTGACATTAACTATGATCACCTGGGTAAGAAGCTATCAGTCAAGTTTCTCCACTGTAAAGTTATCCGTTTTTCTTTTGTAATTATTATGGAGAGATACTTTGAAGCAGTATAATCATCCTATTATTCTTCAAACTCCTCACCCACTAATATCAGGATCTAATAATGATCCTTGACTGACTCAATTACACTACAATGGTTACCAAACAGATTTATTGTTTTTTATATTTATTTGTTGGCATTCTACTGTTAAGAAAAATGTTTCCTTTCATCCATTTGCTTGTTTGTATTAGTTTAGACTCAAATTCTTATTCAATTGATTTGTATTTTCATTACTTTGTTGTTACCCCATTCTTTGCTCAGTGGAAATCCCCCCAGCCACCCATCTTTTTTTTTTTTTTTTTTGAGAGGTTTTTCACTATAGGGCGCGTGCGCTCGCCAGACAGACAGAGAGAGACGGAGAGACAGAAAGCGAGAAATCACCCCCCAGAGGGGATGGCCACGCCGCAATCCCTTCTCCTCCATTCTCCTCTTGGGCTCTTGGGCACGCACACACACGTGCCCGGCGTGGGTTTTAAGCCACCAGGTCCGGGACACGAACCGCGGTCGACTATGTGGGAGTCCAGCGACATAGCCATTACACTAACTGCTGGTTCCCAGCCACCCATCTTTTTAACAGTCCCCATAATTCTTGATATACATCTTATTTTCTAGTACGAGATGCTACAGGTTCATCTTATTCTTTCCCAGCCCTAGCCCTAGATTCAGCCATTTCTCTCAAGATCCACGTTTCTGTTTATCAGAAAATTGTACTTGGGCGTGGTGGCACCCACCCTATGGCAGAAAATTGTACTTAAAAACCAAAATCTGGGCACTAGGTTACTCAGTACCACTGAAAAACACAAAGATATGCAGATATTCCACATCTAATATGTATTAAAAACCATGAAACCAGCAAGTGGTGTGGTGGTTAAGGTGCTATACTCCCACATGGCCAACCACAATTCAAGTCCCAGACCTGGCGGCTTGCTTTCTCTCTCTCTCTCTCTCTCTCTAGCACACATGCCTCATAGCAAATTTTTTAAATAGTAAAATAAATAAATAAATTTTTTAAATGAGTTTACACTGACATCTCCAATTCCAATTCACACCACAATATTCATCTTAGCCTTGACCTTTCCACGTGTATTATAGTGAAAAACAGTTATTCATTTGTTCATGTCTGAATACACAGAAGCCAGATTGCTAATCCATGGCACTACCAAACCCAAACTCTACTACCAATTCTTTCTGTCTTTAGCTCATGTTCAAATTACTTGGGTTAATTCACTTGCCCCTTCTTTAGTGTGACTAGATAACTAATTTGAAATAATTTAGTTTTGTCTATATTCCACTTCTGAGCTTTCTGTCCATCCTTGCTTACCTTTTTTTTAAGCATGTGAAACAGTAAGGCTTGAAAAGCAAGAACTCTACAAAAGATAATAATCAAGAGTGCCACTCCTCCTTTCTGTCTGCACTGTCCCTACCTGACCCTAGAAGGTAATGAAGTGCATTAGTTCCTGGTTATCTTTTCTTTCTGTACAAATGAGACAGATGTGCATTTTGCTTACCTTTTCCTCCTTTTTTATACAAATGTTAGGATAGGTGAAAGTTAACATGCAAATGAAAGTTCTTGTCATACCCAAACTAAAACAGACTTAAAGAGCTATAGGGGAAAACAAAAATAGATTGCACATGACTATTTTAAGGACTGCCCACTGGGACAATTCAACCCAAATGGCTTCCTATCATTTTAAGACTAGTTCTACCCAGTAACCAACAATGAAACTGACTGACATGGTATTAAGACTAGCTAATGCTACCAACTCAGTCGAAACTCACCAGCTGCCACAAGGTACCACAAATGCTAATAAACTCTTTTTCAAATAGCTTACAAAGTTTATCCTTTCCAAAACAACCATGTTACACATCAACTATATAAAAAAGAGAGAAATATTAAATGTCTGTAAAATATCCATGTGACTTAATACATTCTAAATACAGGCTCCTCTTCTATTTTGGTTTTAAATATGACAATTTACTTTTGTTTCACTAACAATTAGGTAAATCCACCAGATTAGGCCATTCATAAATTAAATCTAGTTAATATCTAATTATAAAAAAATGTTTCAATTATCATTAAACATGAAATAGTAACTATCAAGGAGCAGGAAATCTTAAGAGTAATTCCATTATGATCAGAAGAGTCAGAGCTGAATATAATTGTTCTAATACCCTATAATTAGAATAGAGAAAACATTTTAAGAACATGGATTCTAACTATTACACACCATTTCAGAAGTTCCCTAACAAACTATCATGATTGACTTTTATTCATCATAAAAGAAGGTGCTTTCTGAAAACTCGCTCATATTAATTGCTAATATTTACTAATATTTTGTGTCAGTGTGTTGTACCTCAGATCCACTTTTGCTTTACAACCACTTTTCTGAACTCTTACATTTTTGTGACACTCCTTAAGCAAGTTAATCAAGATGTTGCATTCTTCAGTGTGCAAGTGTGGCGATAAGTCAGGATGCATCTTTAGAAGAAGGTAATGGATTGCAGCAGCACAACCTGTGGATACAAGAATTTCTTGAATATGCAGGAATATATTTGTCAATGTCACCTAAAGGCATTTTCAGTAAGAACCTGTGGTAACTTTTATTATAAAAGAATGATAACTAATCAGAACTACAGTCTTTGGTTTGCTTTTATCTTGAGGACTGTAGTTCTGTAGTTTGCCCTAAAATATAAGGGACATTGGACAAGCATCTTAAAGTAGTCATGGAATTTATGGCTGGCCCTTTATCACTTCTCTGCCCCCTTCTCTGCATCCCAGGCTTGCCTCTGATGTTAGGTCTTTTAGTTTGCTTCTGCAAGCAGAGTGAATACCTACCTGAAGGGGATCCTTGTCCCTCATGTACAGTTCAAGTAATGATCAAGAATCTTTTGTAAAATTACAGAAATTTACTATGTCAATGCTTGATGAAATTTTTTCCTGCTAGTGTAGCTTCTGGAAGGTGCTTTCTCCATTTATTTAAAACTACCCATGCAATTAAAAAGTGTAATAAGCAGTAAAAATTATTATAAAATTTAAAAAATTAAAAAATAAAAGAATGATAACTATTAACCAGCTGTGTGACCTTAGGCAAATTATTAAACATGGGGGGCAAGCAGGTGGTGTGGTGGTTGAGGTACTGGACTCCCACATAGCTGACCACAGTTCAAGTCTCAGATCCTGCACCTTGCTTTCTCACTTCCCTCTCTCTCTCTCACCCTGTCTCTGGTGAATTAAAAAACAATAATAAACAAATGAATAAATCATTTTAAAAAATTACACTTGAGCCTCAGTTTCCTCATCCAATAATTTAACACATACAGCAAGTTAGCAGGAGAATTTAGAGACCCCGTAGGTTCAGAAAGAGAAAAGCAAGAATTCCCATGAGAATTCTAAACCTGGAAATATGTACTCTGGCAAAAACAGACTGTCTATATCAGAAAGTCTTACTTCAAATATTTTCCCCATATTTCCAAAGTTAATAATAACTCGTTTTGTTTAGATAAAATTATATCAAGTAAGAGAACTGGCTAATTCTTTTAAAACGTATATCCCTTTGGAAAGATTAAAGTATCATTACTCTCATATTAGTGTGAAGTAATACAGACTTTTCTTCTAAACACCTGGCGGAGAAAACCTAACAAAATGAAATAAGAAGCAAGTGTAAAGGAAAAAATTAAAATTTAACAGATACATTCATAAAACTAATTATTACACTGAAAGCAGGAAGTTGAAATCTAGTTTACTTGGTTCATTCACAAAATTTTAAAAAGGCAGCCAAAAAAAAAAAAAATCGAGGTGTTTGCTATAGCTATGAAGCACTATTTATTCTAACTCAGAAAGATTACCAAAAGAACCATTAATTCCTTTACCTTTTTAAAAATTCCAAAAAGAAAACAGAGGAGCCACATCATACTAGTTAGGATGACTACTATCAAAAAACAAGTGCTAGAGAGGACACAGAAAAACTAGAACCCTATGCACTGTTGGTGGAAATGTCAAATAGTATAGCTGCTATCGAAATCAGAATGCAGTTCCTTAAAATCAAAAACAGAACTGCCATATGATCCACCAGTTCCACTTCTGAGTTTGTACCCAAAAGAATTGAAAGCTGGGATTTGAACAGGTGCTTGAACACCCAGTTCATAACTCACTATTCACAATGGCTAAAACATGAAAGCAGTCCAAGTGTAGATCAAGAGATAAATAAATAAGCACAGGTGAAATAGACATACAATGGCCTATCATTCAGCCTTAAAAAGGAAGGAAATTCTGTCATGTACTACAACACAGATGACCTACGAGGACATTACACTAAATGAAATAGGCCAATCACAGAAAGACAAATTCTCAAGATTTCACTTATATGAAGCACTTACAGCAGTCAAAAATTATAGAAACAGGAAGGCGAATGGTTGTTGTGAGGTACTAGAAGAAGGGAGAATGGGGAATTACTGTTTGATGGGTATAGAGTTTCAGTTTTATTAATCCAAACAGTTAAAAGATAGATGATGGTGATGGTTGTATAACATTTAAATGTATTGAATACCACTGAACTGTACATTTAAAAGTGGTTATGATGGTAAATTTTTTGTTATGTATATTTTACCATAATAAAAAAAAGTAGGAGGTGATCACGATGCTATGTTGGGCAAAGAGTTCTTAGATACAACAAAAGCACAACTCGGAAAAAAAAAGAAAGAAAGAAAGAAAGAAAGAAAGAAAGAAAGAAAGAAAGAAAGAAAGAAAGAAAGACAGACAGACAGAAAGAAAGAAAGAAAATGACAACTCATCAAAATTAAAAACTCCAGAAAACACCACTGGGCTGGCCCCATAGTACATTGGTTAAGTACTGCACAAAGGAATACATGGCCACCAGGGTTTGAGACCCAGTACCAGCAGCCTGAAAACAGGTTGAGCATACACGTACTTGTTCAGGATTCTGATGGAATGGAGAATTGGAGGAAAGAAGATTACAGCATGACCAAGTCCCAGCAAGGGATGTGTGCTCACGTACACAGGCGCCTTCTCTCTCTCTCTTTCTCTTTCTCTCTCTCAAAATCTATATTGGGTTGTCAAGAAAGTCATGATGCATTTTTTGCATAGGAAAACAAAGAAAAATACGTCACGACTTTCCCAATGACCTAATACTTCATAAAAAAAGAGATAAGCCATAAACTAGAAGATATTTGCAATTCACATATGATAAAGGACTTATGGACTCATACCTAGAATACACATAGAACACTCACAACTAGTAAGACAATTCAGTTTTTAAAACTGAACAAAAAATTAGCAAAAGATTTGAATTAAGACTTCACCAAAGAAGATATTTTAGTGGTTATTAAATATATAAAAAGATGCTCAGATCAGTCAGTGACATGGTGGTTAAGGAGGCTGGATCCCACATTGTCAATGCATGACCTAGTAGCTTGAAAAACACACTGAGCAGGGCTAGCAGGTGGCATGGTGTTAAGGCACTGGACTTCCATGTGACCCACTGTGGTTCAAGTCCCAGACATAGTGGGTTGCTTTCTCTCTCTCTCTGGTGCATGCATGTACTCTATAGCAAATTAAAAATAATAATAATAATAATAAAATTAAATAATTTCTAAGAAAAAGAAAAAAATGACAACACTGAGCACATGTGTATGTGCCCAAAATCCTGACAGAGAATGGCAAAGAGACTGTGTCATGGCCATCCCCCCGACCCAGGGAGAGGGGTTGGTTTTCTCAATCCCCAGTCCCATCTCTCTCTTAGCACACAGACCTACAGCAGAATAAAAATCAAAAAACAACAACAAAAAACAAGACACTCAAGACTATTAGTCTTGGGACCAGCAGGTAGCATAAAAGCTATGTCACTGGACTCCCATGTAGTCGACCCCAGTTCGAGTCCTGGACCTAGTGGCTTAAACTCACGCCGGGCGCATGTGCGTGCGCGCCCAAGATCCCAAGAGGAGAATGGAGGAGAAGAGATTGTGGCGTGGCCATCCCCCCAAGGGGTGATTTCTTGCCTTCTGTCTCTCTGTCTCTGTCTTTCTGGTGAGCACACGTGCCCTATAGGAAAAACCTCTCCAAAAAAAGAAAAAAAAAGACTATTAGTCTTTAGAAAAATGCAAATTAAAACAAAATGAGATACAACTACACACCCATCAAAATAGCTATATTAATCAAAAAGTCAGACAATACCAAGCATTGGTTAGGATACAGAGAAACTGGACCTCATGCATTGCTAATGGGATTGTAAAACAGAGATACTCTGGAAAACAATTTAGCAGTTTCATATATTAAACACTGAACAGCATATGACCCAGCAATTGCACTCTTAGGAATCTACCCAAGGGAAGCGAAAACATATCCACACAAAGAGTTGTATGTGAATGTTAATCACAGCATTATTCGAAACTCTCTCAATGTCCAATAACCAGGTAAATAGATTAAAAAAATGTGGTACATCTATACAAAAGAATACACTTAGCAATTAAAAGGAATGAACTGTTAATGCATGCTCCAACTTGGATGAACCTCAAAAGCCCTATGCTTAAATGAAAGAAACCAGATGCAAAAGATTACACACTGGGTCAGCTTCATGGCACAGCAGTAATATACAGCTCAAGAAAAGCTGGGTTCCATATGGCAAAAGCAGTTCAAATCCCTAGCTGGTGAGCCTGAAACACAATCGACAACATGTATGTGGGGTATGACCAGGTCCTGTGGACGGTGTTCGTCTCTCTCTTTCACTCTCGTGTACGTGTGCATGTGCATGAGCTCTATCATGAATAAAGAAAAATATTTTTAGAGTACATATTGCATGAGTCCATTTATATACAATATCATCTAGAAAAGGCAAATTTGGGACCAACAGATGGCACAATGGTAACGTCACTGGACTCCCACATTGTTGACCGCAGTCTGAGTCCTGGATCCAGTGACTTAAAACTTACTGGGCATTTGTGCATGCCCAAAATCCCAAGAGGAAAATGGAGAAGGGAGGGCAACATGGTCATCCCCCCCCCCGGGGGGAGGTGAATTCTTGCTTTCTGTCTCTCTGTTTCTGCCTCACCAGCAAGTGCACGCGCCCTCATGGCAAGAATCTCTCTAAATGATTGATAGATAAATAGACAGACAGACAGACAGACAGACAAAAAGAAAGAAATAAAGGGCAAATTTGCCTAGGACTGAAGGTGAGAGTGGGGATTTCATTTATAATTGGGCATAAAGGAAACTAGTGATGAAAATGTTCTAACACCAGATTTTGGAAATAGTTACAATTCTATGAATTAGTAAAATCCCTAGCATGTAAGCTATACCTCAATAAAGCTGTTTTAAAAGTTCTGAGAAGGCCAGCAGGTGACATGGTGGTTAAGGAGACTAGATTACCACATAGCTGACAGTGGTTCAAGTCACACTGGGCACACGTGTGTGCCTGCCCAAAATCCTGAGAGAATAATGGGAAAAGGGATCACAGAGTGGCCATCCCCTCAAGGAGTGATTTCTTACTTTCCCTCCCTCT